CCGCCACCGACCCCTGCGCAAACTGGCTGGGCGTCTCCTGCTCCCCTCGCTCCCCCCACCGCATCACCCGCCTCGTCCTCGAAAACCTCTCCCTCGCGGGGGGCCACCCTGCCCCTCCTCTCTCCCCTCGCCTCCCTCCGCGTCCTCAGCCTCAAATCCAACTGCGACCAGGAGATGAGAGAGTTGAGCGGGTCGGAGGCGTTCTTGAAGTTGAGGAGAGCTTTGGCGTCCGAATCTAAGGAGGATGAGGAGGCTACAGGGAGATGCTGGTGGAGGAGGAGGAGGAGGAGGATAAGGGAGAGCAAGTGTACTTGCATTTTTGGATTACTTTTTTATTTTTATTATTTTTTTTCTTGTTCGATTCGAATAGGAGAAAGAGCGAAGAGTGAGAGACGTTGTGGTTGTGTTGACTGGTAGAGTCTCAGATGGAGAGATGCGGGCTGTCTTTTTCTCTGAGCTTTGGCTTTTTATTGTTCCGAGAAAAAGATAGGGGGACAGAGGTATCATAGACTGCTGTGCAGCAACACTGTTTACGATTATATGATCCTTGATATGTCCTTTTCCAAATTTAATATATACATACTTTTTTGGAAAAGGACAATAGTTAGAGCACGTTCTCTGCCTGCCTCAATCAATGTAATCCACTAGTCATTTATACAATGTTATGATTAGTTATGAAAATTAGAACAAATGATTCTTTAAATACATAACGTTCATTGGATTCAAAATGATTAAGAAAAAAAGTTCATGGTCGAAGACCATGTTGAAGAGAATTCTAATTGCAATTGAAGTGCTAGCTTTTAGGGAGGGTCAGTCACCTAGAACTTAAAATTAGAACTGAGATAATATATGAGATAAAATTTTAAAGTGTTAGTCACATAGAACTAAAACTAGAACAAAATTTTACAGTGTTAATCAAGTAGAACTCTAACAAAATTAGAATTGGGATAATGGTACAAAATTATCCTATTTTTTTTATTTTTCTATACAAAAATGAGAGTTCGCTAGCAAAACGCACTTGAGATGCTGCGACTACTCAGAGGGATCTCATTTTAGTTCGATGTGAGCTTGGCTCCCTGAAGCTGATCCAATGACTCGAGTCTCTCAAATTATTCTAAGTTTTAGCTTGGAACTATGTGGTAAAAAACTAGAACTCATATTTATTTTGTTATTTTTTATTTTTTTTTTATTTTTTCTCTACTTCTTTCCTATTATGATTATCACCATCATTAGACGATCATTATAATAATAATTGTCAATATCTTATAATCTAACTAAAAGTTATTTAATAGTAAAGAATATTCTTGTAAGCAATTATCAATCAATAATAGTAAGTTTAAAATACATAAATAGTATTTATATCTTCAAAATGGATAAATATATATTTCATGATTATAAAAATTTACCCCACGTTATTTTATCAAAATATCCCGCTTCACAAAATTGTTTCTACTTATCCCACTAAAATATCCCACTAGCGAAAAATTATTCCATTTTAGCAATTATATCATTTGCATGAAAAATATCCCAATTGACTAATACCCCCTTAGGGAAATTACTTGCAGCCTTTAATGGATAAGAATTTATGCCTCTAACCGCTTTGAGAAACAGTTAACTTCTAATACCCCTTTGGACCACAAATGTTATGTGTTGAACACCCTAAAAGCCAATTTACAACTGATCACAACATCTTTCTTCTTGTTTTACCCCTGGGTTTAACTAGAGAAAAAGAGCCGTATTTTCTTCTTCTTCATTTAATCCTTAATCGCATCTTGTAGGCAATAAAAATTGCCTTTAAATCCTTATCAGAGAAGTTCAGAACAAAACTGCTAAAACCTCGCCCGAAATAGCAGAAAAAGGGAAAAACGCAGATATCTCCCAAACCGTAAGGAATTTGGCGAAACGGAGGAAGCGAACCGAAGCCTTCGGCTCGGTTCGGATGGCTCCATCTCGTCGAGATAGGCGATTTTCATATATAATTCGTCCAATTCCGACTTACGGTTTGAAAGTTACGGCCTATTCTTCGATCCATGCTCAGGAGCTCGCCTGCAGCTCGAATTTCGCCTGCACGATCAAGACCCAAGTCTGCCTGCAGTCCCAAACTCGCCTGCAGACTCAGCTCGCCTGCAAGCTCGCCTGCAGACCCAAGTCTGCCTGCGCACCTGAGCTCGCCTGCAAACCCAGTTCGCCTGCTAGCTCGCCTGCAGACCCAAGTCCGCCTGCAGTCCCAAACTCACCTGCAGACCCAGTTCGCCTGCAAGCTCGCCTGCAGACCCAAGTCTGCCTGCAGTCCTAAGCTCGCCTGCAGACCCAAGCTGCAGACTCGCCAGCTCACTGTCAACTGCCCACTTGGAGTATGGGAACAGTTACATCAGTGGTCAAATCCCACAAATCAAGGGAGAGGGCACAATACTCCAGGCCCGTCAGATCGAGTGATCGGACAGGTGCCAGATCAACCTGTGCGTTCATAAATGCAACTCAGCTCATCGGTCCAAGTCAAGAGCTGGAACCGCCAGCGCACAGTGAGCTGGCCCAATCCACTCGAGTAATGGACAGCCGCTGTCTCACATACGAGGATGGACCTTCCCGCCCCTAGGCGACAGGACGTGAAGCACAACCCATCGAGTGACGGTTCGTAGTACAGAGGAGCGACAAGATGTCTCTCAACAGTGTATGGTCACATCCCATGATTCAAGGAGCGGCCACGCCATCTCTCCTCTATTTAAGAACCTCGCCCGGCTACAGGAAAGAGGTTCACACATAGTTAATTGACTAATTCAATCAGTTAACTGAACCACTGGCTCTCGACTCCCAACGGAGTCGACAACAAGCTCTCTGCATCACCTTTGCATTGCAGCGCCACTTCCTAGTTCTGAGCCCCGATCGCCGGTGAACTAGAAGACCCAAACTCCATCGAACCGAGTTTCTACTGTGTACTGAAGCTCCGGCAGCAACTTCGATCGGATCGTCCAAGGGAAGCAGACTCGGCACGAGCACCGAGCGAGGCGTCCTATCGCCACCGATGAACCCACGTTAAACAAGGAGGGTCTTCCCTCCGCTTCTGTTGTAAACATTTGATTATTAGTTTGTAATAAGCCTTCTTATTAATACAAAAGAAGTTCCCTGTTTTCGGGAGATCAAAATTTACACATATACATCTCTAACCCCATGCAAATAATTATGTGATTTCTACCATTGTTTATTTCTACAATTCGCCCATTTCCTATTCCAAATTTTATTGTTTATCCTCTCCACCTTTGTTATGCAACAGTTATAGAAATACAAAATGGCATTTGTTATCTCGGTCTATATTGTAAGTGTACAACTATAAAGACTAAGCTAATGCTAGTTGATTATAACAAAAGAAGAATGCTTCTAGCCCAAAATTAAAAAGCAAATTCTCTCCAACTCCAAGACTTGATCAACATGTCAAAATCCCCCAAAATCAACTCTTTTTGCTTCTGTCTCTCAAATCTAACGTCACCGAAACAATACTTTTTCATTCTTCACCATACCCATAGTTAATGCCCATGTGGACTGCTCTCTCTCTCCCTCCCTCCCTCCCTCTCTCTCTCTCACATCATCATCACCTTCTTCTTCCTCGTCTCTTTTCTTTCTCTCTCTCCACTCCATACCCATTAGCAACAAGCTCCCATCCTCTCTTTTATTATCTCTCCCCCACTTCATGCCTATTACCAACAAGCTCTTACCTCTTTTCTCACTCCACCTTCCTCCCCTTCAACTTCCTATATCTATGTATCCTCTCTCATACGCCCTCTACCGTCCATGCCCTCATATCTTGTCACCTCACTCGT